CAACAAATAACAGTGAAACCAGGCAGAGGAAAGGTTGTAATTGTTTCCCTACCTCTTTGTGATATATCTCACAAATTCTATTTTGTCCAAATTAAGACATCATAGCTAAAAATTCTGAATTCCCCTTCAAGGACCATTTATTAAGTCCAACCACTTCCTTATCTGGCTCTAACACTCCTGAATTACAACACTTACTGTCAGATGCCAAATATCCAGAGACATCCCCTACTTCCTTGAGCTCACAGAATTACTTGAAACACCCAACGCCAAGAAACCCATGAAACTTAGCTAACTCCACTCTGTTTGCCATATATAAGCTCCTTTCTACAGTTCCAGGTCACTGTTACCGTTTTCCTGGGTGCAATGCCCTGTGTGGCCCTGTGTGGCCTTTTCTATTTTGGAGCCTTAAGTAATCAAGAGTTCTGTCTTTCATCTATCTAGGTATTATTGTCCTGTGCCCTACCATCATCGGAGCCTAACAAATACTGAAACATGCTGGAATATTTTTAGTATTATAGCAATAATTGAAAATAAAATCTGTAGAAAAGAAAACAAGAATTAAACTTGATTTTAAAGTTTAAAATGAAACAGACATCTTTAAAATTGATCCCTAGTTATAGACAAATTCTCCATAATCTGATCCCTGGCATAACTCCACTAAGTCAAATGGTGGAGTTAAAAAAAAAAAAAAAAAAAAAAACTCTTGACAATTTATTCTGCTATTTCAAGTGGCTCTCCACGGAAAAGGTTGTAGAAGCTGACAAGGCTGCCACAGCATGGATTTTTCCACTTTTACTCTGTGGGAGCTAATGAGCCCTAACAGTCAAGGGGTGCTTGGACACATCAGCCTCCTGGGCTTTGGCTTCCCAACAACTGTGATCCACCATACCCTTCTCCCAGATGATAACACATTCTTCAGTCCTTCTTCCTCCAGGAAACATGGGCTTCAGGTATAGGCACACACACTATGGCTTCCTCATTACCACCCTCTTAGAAGACTCCAACAGAGCTCTAGGCTTCACAGTCCTCACCAGCTTCTCAATTCTTCTACAAAGGAAAGTCAGTTTGGGAGTAGACAAATAAGGGGCTCCTTTCTTAGCGAGAAAGTGCCCTTATTTTGACCTTCGGTGAGGAAAAGGATGGGGAAGCGAAGGTGGTCTTTCCCTCCAAACTTGTGGTGTTACAGCAAATACCCAGTGCCCAGGAAGAGACAAGCCACACGCACTTAGAGAATCAGAAAAGACTGTTTATTGCGCACCGGTGCTGGCCCTGCGTAGTCACTTCCAGAGGCTGAGGCGTGCATCTTGGCATCGGCCTCCTTTTAAGGCTGGGATGGTAGGGGGTTGAGAGATTAAAGAAAAAGAGGAGGGGTCCCTCATCAGAGGAGCTACAGGGGTAGTTGGTGAGGCAGAAGGCAAGCAAGATTACAGAAGCCAAAAGTATGCAAGGGGAGTATCCAGCCTCAGGCATGTGGCTGGCCCCTTTTATCTTGATTTTCCTAGCTTTTCTTCTCCATGGGGGACCTAGACTTAGGTTTTATGCTCTTGTCTTCCCTCACCTGAGGGCCCCTGGTCCAGGCTGACTCATCACACTCTTCCTCTGTGTCTCCATGGGCAAAGCCTTCCAGCTCTAGGCCACCATGGAGGCTCCCTGACAGAAGACTCCAATATTCTGCTGTTGTTCTTTAAGCTCTCCCTTGGCATACAGCTAAGCCCTTATCTGCAAAGTGTCACCAATGACACCTTCAAATACATTCTCCTCATCATTTCACTTGGAAGGCAATGCAGCCACAGTTGCTTCTCAGAGTTTCTCTAAGTCCCTTCTCCCTTTGCAATAGTATTAGAGAACTGTGCACCCTGTGATGGCATATTCAACAACAGAACTGAACAGATCTAAAAAGGGGGAAGCCAAGATCTTTTGCTTGGTGTAAACACTGGACAACCAACAGCAGCAGCACATCATACATTATATGGGAGTGGGTGGGGTGGAAGAAAAAATAGTCCAAAGAATCAGTAAGAAGTAATTCAGGTGAGCATTAATATAGGTTGAACAATGGAACCTAAACAAAACAAAAATAGGTTTATAACTAGATGCCATGCAACATGGAGAAAATCTTTGGTTGCTAATAAGATGCTCTCACTGGAACTTTGGTGAATTATTCCAATATTATATAAAGCCAGCTACATTTTTTCCTAAAAGTTTTGTTAATGTTTATTTCTGAGAGAGAGAGAGACAGAGAGAGAGAGAGAAACAGAGAGAGAGAGACAGCATGAGCAGGGGAGGGTTAGAGAGAGAGGGAGACACAGAATCAAAAACAGGCTCCAGGCTCTGAGCTGGCTGTCAGCATAGAGCCCGATGCGGGGCTCAAACCCATGAACCGTGAGATCCTGACCTGAGCTGAAGTCAGACACTTCACCGACTGAGCCAAGCAGGTACCGCATAGCCAGCTACTTTTAGATAAAAAGGTGTATCATAAACCCAGATCATCAATTCCATGTGGTATATAAAACAATTTTCTTGCTTGGAACTAATATCAGGAAAGAGACTGATACTATTACATTGTATAAAACATTCAGTGAGATCACAGATGATGGTGTGTTGAGGAGTATCATAGGCAGTGAACGAAAAACCAAGTAGAGAATAAGTATTTGTACCTGCAAGATCTAGTCCAAACTCTATGATGATGTAAGGAGTCCAGTATAATCAGCTGGCTGACCTACTCTATTGAATTTAGAAGTTCTTTTAAAGACATTCATATTGATACCATTCTCCTGATCTACATTTATGTTTTCCCTTCTTGGTAGACTCTTCAGAATCCTTTCCCAAGTATATTATCCAAATGATGAGTATTCACAAATAAGTGAATACCTCTAGTTCTTTTTTTATATAACACTCCACTTCCTCCGAGTGGGATCCACTACAGTTGTATGTCTGGAAATAATGGGAAATGTCAGGACATGGGGAGCACTAAGATTTCCTTGCAAGGTGATGCATCATCATCCTCAAGCAAGGCAACAATAACCTCATCACACAAGGGAAGAGGGGCTGCTCAGTCTGCCAAGGAAGGTTCATTTGGGTTTGGGGTTGGAAGGGCTTTATTCATCTAAGGCCTCCAGTAATACAACCTTGATAATTACGTGAGACACTGACTCACAAACTTGGTTTAAATAAGAACTTCAACAAAGCCATAGGTTATTTTTGTTTTGTTTTGTTTTATCTCCAAGCAGGGAAATGTGAGAGCCGATGTTCCTCTTTAAGATTGAAGGAGAGGGGCGCCTGGGTGGCTCAGTCGCTTGGGCATCCGACTTCAGCTCAGCTCATGATCTCGCAGTGTGTGGGTTTGAGCCCCATGTCAGGTTCTGTTGCCCGAGGCCTGCTCAGGCCGGGGTCCAGGGGTCCCTGAGGGATGGACGGTGTCGGCGAGAGAGAGAGTGAGAGAGCCCCGAGATTCTTTCTGATCACAAGGCAGGCATCTCTGTCCTTTCGGTTTTGGTGTCTTTATTTATAGGATAAATGATAACATGACGTCAGAAAAAGGAATTTTTACAATGGAAAACTCTTTGTGATAAGATGCTTTGGAAAGTGTACAGAAGCAGGTTTTACAGAAATATTCTTGCAGAACTATGCCTATTATAGTGAGGTTAAGTAAATCTTGTAACTAAAGAATTAACAGAGTATTCTTAGTAAAAGACAGGATACATATTTGTCCTAAGTTAATAACGCTAAGGCTAGGTCATAGGTTAAGTGTATAGATGGGCTAAGAGTCATTCTGTCTGGCTCACAAGAGGACGAATGTGTTTAAACTGGTGAATAAGTTGTTTGTGGAAACGTTTTTGACTTGATGCTGAATGTGTAAACACCATGGAGCCCCTAAATGTGTCGGCCTTTGTTTTCTACTTTTATCTCTCGTCATGCCAGCCAGCCCTGTAAGGGAGGGTGTTTGCAGAAAGTAGGCCTTGGGGAAGAGACTGCCATCCATCACCAGTTAGAAGAAGGTGTAAGTATTAACATAAGTTCTGCCCTTATCTGTTCCTTAGCTCTAAAATTAGGCTCTTTGTCTCGTGGCCAGGCTCAATTGTAACTCTTGTGTTCTTAACCCCCCTTATTATCTAAGTCTTGGATCCTCAAGGCCCATCGGAAGAGCCTTTTGACAATCATCCACAGAGCTTTCATCTAAAATCTCTTTTGTAAAGGCAGGAATATGCTTTTCCTTATGACGTATCTGTGTTCGGAATATTGGTCTGATATGGAATATTCTGAGGCCTGGTCCATACCAGCAGGCTTGTTTCCAACCCGAGCCAGTAGTAGCAGAAAGAGATACCAGGTTTCGTTTCGCATGGCAGGAGCTGTGCAAACACTGCCATTTCCTTGCTGTGACTGCCATCCAGAGAGGCCGGTGCGGCTCCCAGCATTCTGTGTTGACAGCTCAGAGCTTGGAGCCTGCCTCAGATTCTGGGTCTCCCTTTCTCTCTCTCTGCCCCTCCCCCACTCACACTCTGTCTCTCTCTCTCTCTCAAAAAATAAATAAACATTAAAAAAGCTTAAGATTGAAGGAGAAAAGTCACCAAGTGTGCACCTTAAAGAAAGGAGCTCTTTATTTAAAGGGTACTAAGAGGGCAAGAAATTATTATGGACAGCCAATCAGAATTGCAGAAATTTTTTGAATAAAAGGTAAATTTCTCACGTCCTGACAACCATCTCTGAAGTCCAGGTATCTTTCAGAATCCTTCATTTAACATTGCCAGTACAGGGGTGCCTGGGAGACTGAGTCAGTCAGGTAAGCCTCTGACTTTGTCTCAGGTCATGATTTCGAGTTTCCAGAGTTCAAGCCCCACATTGGGCTCTGTGTTGATAGGTCAGAGCCTGGAGCCTGATTTGCATTCTGTGTCTTCCTCTCTCTGACCCTTCCCCCCTTTCAAAAATAAACATTTAACATTTTTAATTGCCAGTACATGGACAATTTATGAATCAGACTAGTTTCTGTTTTTCTGCAGCTTTTTTCTACTTCTCAGCATAATGAGATTTCTTCTACTGAGAGTTAGGAAGTTTTCAAAGCCAAGTATTGGGACAGAATTGGTTATCAACACAAAAAACAAAGCCAATCATGAGAAGCTTTAAAGTTATGTGATGTGATGTGTCACATTGATTGATTTGCAAATATCGAACCAGCCCTGTCACCCAGGAATGAGTCCCACTTGATCATGGTGGATAATTCTTTTTATGTGCTGCTGGATTCGATTTCCAAGTATCTTGTTGAGGATTTTTGCATCCGTATTCATCAAGGATATTGGCCTGTAGTTCTCTTTTTTAGCTGGATCCCTGTCTGGCTTGGGAATCAGAGGGATGCTGGCTTCATAAAATGAGTCTGGAAGTTTTGCTTTGATTTCTATTTTTTTGGAATAGCTTGAGAAGAATGGGTATTAATTCTGTTTTAAATGTCTGGTAGAATTCCCCAGGGCAGACACCAGGTCCAGGGCTCTTATTTGTTGGGAGATTTTTGATAACTGGTTCGATTTCTTCATTAGTCATGGGTCTGTTCAGATTTTCTATCTCTTCCCGTGTGAATTTTGGTAGTGAGTGTGTGATTAGGAATTTGTCCATTTCTTCTAAGTTGTCCAATTTGTTGGCATATAATTGTTCATAGTATTCCCTGATAATTGCTTGTATTTCTGAGGGGTTGGCTGTAATCAGTCCACTTTCATTGATGATTTTGTGTAATCATTTGTGTTCTCTCTTTTCCTTTTGAGAAGCTTGGCTAGAGGTTTGTCAATTTTGTTTATTTTTTCAAAAAGCCAACCCTTGGATTCTTTGATCTGTTCAATTGTTTCTTTGGTTTCTATGTTGTTTATTTCTGCTATGTTTTTTACTGTTTCTCTTCTTCTAACGGGTTTGGGGTGCTCTTGTTGCTCTGCCTTAGTTCCTTTTGGTGAGCTGCTGGATTTTGCACCTGCACTTTGTCTAATTTCTTTTTTTTTTCCTTAATGTTTTTTTTAAAATTTATTTCTAGGAGAGAGAGCGACAGCGTGAACAGGGGAGGGTTAGAGAGAGAGGGGGTGACAGACTCTGAAACAGGCTCCAGGCTCTGAGCTGGCAGTCAGCAAAGAGCCCGACGCGGGGCTCGAACCCAGGAACCGCGAGATCATGACCTAAGCGATAGTCGGACGTTTAACCGACTAAGCCACCCAGGCGCCCCTAATTTCTTGAAATAGACCTGGAGTGCAATGTATTTTCGTCTTGGAACTGCCTTTGCTGCATTCACATGGAGTTTGGACAGTTGTGTTTTAATTTATATTTGTTTCCATATATTTATTCATTTCTTCTCTAATTGCGTGATTGGCCCATTCGTTCTTCAGCAGGCTGTTCTTTAACCTCCATGTTTTTGGAAGTTTTCCAGACTTCCTCCTGTGATTGATTTCAAATTTCATAGCATTGTGACCTGAAAGTGTGCATGGTATGATCTCAGTTCTTTTATATTTATGGAGGGATGCTTTATGTCCCAGTATGTGATCTATCTTGGAGAATGTGCCATGCACACTTGAGTAGAAAGAGAATTTCATGGCCTCAGGATGTAGAGTTCTAAATATATGTGTCAAATCCATCTGGTCCAATGTGTAATTCAAGACCTTTGTTTCTTTAGTGATTTTTCTGTCAGGTTGATCTATCCATTGCTGTAAGTGGAGTATGAAAGCTCCGGCTCTTAGCACATTCTTATCTATAAGATTGTTTCTGTTTATGATAATTGTTTTAAATATTTAGGTGCTCCCATATTCGGCACATAGACATTTATCATTGTTAGCTCTTCCTGATGGATAGACCCTGTAATTATTATATAACGCCCTTCTTCATCCCTTGTTATTGTCTTTATTGTAAATCAAGTTTGTCTGATATATATACTCCAGTTTTCTTTTGACTTCCAGTGGCATGTGATATATTTCTCCATCCCCTCACTTTTAATCTGAAGCTATCTTCCAGTCTAAAATGAGTTTCTTGTAGACAGCACATAGATAGATTTTGTTTATTTATCCATTCTGCCACCCTATGTCTTTTGATTGGAGCATTCAGCCCATTTATATTCAGTGTTATTATTTTTGAAATATGTGGGTTTAGAGTCATTGTGTCCTTTGTGGGATTCATGCTTGTGGTGGCATCTCTGGTATCTTGTGTTCCTTGCAAGAGAGTCAACCTCAGGATTTCTTGTAGGGCTGGTTTAGTGGTGACGAATTCTTTCAATTTTTATTTATTTGGAAAGACTTTTATCTCTCCTTCTATTCTGAATGACACGCTTGCTGCATAGAGGCTTCTTGGCTGCATATTTTTTCTGTTCATCACATTGAAGATTTTCTGCCATTTCTTTCTGGCCTGCCAAGTTTCAGTAGATAGGTCTGTCAGCACTCGGATAGGTTTCCCTTTGTATGTTAGGGCCCTTTTATCCCTAGCTGCTTTCAAAAGTCTCTCTTTGTCCTTATGTTTTTGCCGGTTTCACTACGATATGTCGTACAGAAGATCGATTCAAGTTACGTCTGAGGGGAGTTCTCTGTGCCTCTTGAATTTCTATGTCTACTTCCCTCCCCACGTTGGGGAAGTTCTCTGGTATAATTTGTTCCAGGACTCCTGCAGCCCCTTTCCCTCTCTCTTCCTCTTCTGGGATTCCTATGATATGGATATTCTTCCGTTTGTTTGTATCGCTGAGCTCTCGAACTCTTCTTTCATGTTCCTGGACCAGTTTATCTCTCTTTTTCTCAGTTTCTTCTTTTTCTATAATAGTGTCTTCTAAATCACTTATTCTCCTTTCTACCTCCTCAATCCATGCATTGGACACCTCCAGTTTATTATGTATCTCATTTATCGCATTTGTAAATTCATCATAACATTTTTTAAGCTCCAGAGTGTTTTTAGCCATAGTTTCGCTAATGTCCTCCATGCTTTTTTCAAGCCTGGCGATTAATTTTATGATTATTGTTCTAAATTCTTGTTCAGTTATGTTGCTTATATCTGTTTTGAGCAGTTCTTTAGGTGTCATTTCTTCCTGGAATTTCTTTGGAGGAGAGTTCTTCTCTTTCATCATTTTGGTTAGCTTTCTATCTCTTGTTAATTTTAACAGCTTGTTGTACACTCTGCCCCTGCGAGTCCTGCTGTATTAGAGAGGGCTCCTTGAGTGTTCAGGGCCTGTCTATTGAGGAAGTGCTCTTTGGATGTTGTCTCTCGTTTTTCGTGTTGATTGGATGGTGTCTCTTGGTTTCTCTTGTTTAGCGTTTGGTGATTTTGTTTCCCTGCTGGTAGTGGTTGTTGTGCCCGAGTCACGAGTCCCCCTAGACCACCAAGGAGCCAACACCGATGCAAGTACAAAAGGGTCTTTATTACAAGCTCAAGCCGGGGCTCACCCGTCTACTGGTGTAGTGTCAGCTGGGTGAAGCCCCAAACAATAGTGAGCAGGGTTTTTATGGGTTAAGGGATGGGGGTGGTACAGTGCACACGTTGTACGTATAACATCATCACACAAGCACTAATTACAATTCTACAGCTGCCATGGTAACAGCTTTGATCATTCAGTTTCTGTGAGGTGTTCATTACTTTTGGTGGGACCCAATCATGACTTATGAGACTCCTTTGAAAATGACCAATTATGAGGTGAGTTCAAAGGTCCCATGTGGGGTTCAGGCAAACGGTTAGAAATTGGCTAGTTTGTATAAAATAACTGTCTGAAGTTCCCAGCCTTGACTCAGACCACAGGAATGCTGTTTGATTAGCTGATCTGAGGGCGGTCCCAGGATGGCTTCAGCCTTGAGATTCTTTTCCTGGAACCGGGGCTACGTGCAGACCAAGGTTGCTCTTTTTTCTTTNCAGCTGAGTTCAATGTCATGTTTCTGGCTCCAGGGTTTCTTCCTGGTTGTTCTACCACAGTCTTATCTCATGAGAACACCAACATTGCTAAAGTACTTTTAGGATTTCAGCACTAGATATTCATTTAAAGAATATAAAAGCATGTGTTAGATTGTATGTTTCTTTATTTCTATTCACAAACGATATAGTTCCTTAAAATGTGACAGTTTACATTGAATCACAAATTGCATTCTTTTTTTTTAATGTTTCTTATTTATTTCTAGGAGAGAGAGAGAGACAGCGTGAGCAGGGGAGGGTCAGAGAGAAAGGGAGTCACAGACTGAAACAGGCTCCAGGCTCTGAGCTGGCAGTCAGCACAGAGCCCGACGCGGGCCTCGAACCCACGAACCGCGAGATCATGACCTAAGCGAAAGTCGGACTCCCAACCGACTAAGCCACCCAGGGGCCCCTACCAAGGTTCCTCTTAATGGAGGCCTTAACTTCAGGCTCCTCAGGGTATTTGGGACTCTCCACCGGGTGTAGTTTGGCTTGTTTCTTGAGGCAGCCCTGGAAAAAGAAAACAGACAACCACAGAGGGAATAGGGAGAGATACACAAACGCACAGACAACACCAATAAACACGCAATCTCAGGCTCAGGTATCAACAACAACAACAACAACAACAACAACAACAAAACAGCTATCTGGACAGGATGGGCGTGTTTTGGTGTAGGCCGGTCTTGTCTCCAGCGTGTCTGCTGCCTGCTCCTGGAGGCGCCGCCTTGGTGGTGGTGGGGAGGAGAATGCTGTCGCCCCAGTCCCTTCTCAACCAAGCATTGCACATCACTTCACGGGTCCGATCTCCCTGTGCTGAGGTTGTAGCCAAGGTAGGCTAAGTTCTATGCCCCACGCCCCGCCTCGTTTCCAGGTCTCAGTCCATGGGCTTTGTTTTACTGCTCTAAAGGGTCCCTGTTGCCGGGGGTTGAGTGGGGGGTGGGGGAAGTGTTGCAGCCTCAGATCAGCCGGGGTCAAGCAGCTACATAAACCGAGTGCGTTCGGGGAACATAGCAACTTCAGGTCCCCAGAGTCAGTGGCGATGCAGCACGCTGCAACCGCTGCTTTACTGGGCCACTGCCACCGCACGTGCCCTTAAACATGTATGTCTTAAGAAATGGCCACTAGGCAATGAGAAAGAATGGAATCTGGCCATGTGTAGCCACATGGATGGACCTTGAGGATGTTATGCTGAGTGGAATAAGTCCGGCAGAGAGGGATAAATACCATATGTTGGCATGTATAGGAGGATTAGGAGGAACTTATCTGAGGACCGTGGGGGAGATGAAGGGGGGAAACAGTGGGGGTGGGAGAGACAGGCAAACCATGAGAGACTCTTGAATGCTGAGAACAAACTGAGGGCTGATGGCTGTGGGGGGGAGGAGGGAAATGGGCATAGAGGAGGGCACTTGTGGGGATGAGCATTGGGTGTTATGTGGAAACCAACTTGACAATAAACTGTTTGTAAAAAAAAAAAAAAATGGCCACTCGGCATTTGTGAAATATCTTCTATTGAAGTATTGACCTTCAAACTTTTCTATTGTAATGCATGAAAAATATGCATTTTTAAATGTAATTCAACAGACACTAAACTATGTGTGTGCGGTACCTGGGTGGCTAAGTCAGTCAAGCATCCAACTTTCAGGTAGGTCAAAATCTCGCCATCCCTGAGTACAAGCCCGGCATCAGGCTCTGGGCTAGCAGCTATGTGCTGATTGCACTCTCTTCCTCTCTTTCTGAAAAATAAATCAAAGTTCTAAATAAATAAATAAATAAATAAATGTGTGTGAACTCTGGAAATATTCTATATGCAGAACAGTGGTATTTTCTATTTTATTTTATCGCGTTCTTTTAAAAGGCTGCTTGTGGCCCACAACATTAACCCCATGACCCACTATGGATTACAAACCACCATGTGGAAAACATTAGTCCCAATGGCCACTACATGCCGTTATAGAAGTACATGCACATACCTGTGAGAATCTCCATTTTGTCCTCATCTGGGAATTCACTGTTTTCAGACACAAAAGCCATCTTTGTTATGAGCCACAGGGGTACAATGATGTGAAGTTGCTGATGAAATATAAGCTCCACTTGCAAAGTTTCACGTTAAAATTCAGAAATGAAGTTTAAGGAGTGTACTTCTCATGAGGAGCACTGAGTGATGTATGAAATTGTTGAATCACCATATTGTACTCCTGAAGCTAATATAACGCTGTATATCAACTAATTGGAATTAAAATAAAAACTTTGGGGAAAAAATTCAAATAATAGTGTTTGTTTTGCACATTGCAACTGTTATTTGGTATAGATGAGAACTCACAACAAAAGAGTACATGTGATTTGTCGTCCGGTTGGTATCCTGTGCAGAGCCGTGCTTGGGCTGGGGTGCAGCAGATTGCCATATATTGTGGGGTTTAGCTAAGGGACCCCATTTCCCTACTGTGCTTCCATTTTATGAGAAAGTGTGAGGTTTGCATTACACATGATGGGAAATAAATACTTTGACCCTAAGCACCAAGCAGGGTAAGCTTAGATGTCCGCACTTTGAGGGCCTCTGGGAAACCCCACTCCAGAGTCTGTGAACATTGTTTCTTCACTCCTGTAGGGATTTAAGCTTGTTCTTAGATTCTCTTTGTTAGATGAAAGGAAACCTCTGGTCTTGTGGGAAGTTGCAGCCCTTCTGTAGCAAGAGGGGCTGCGATCAGTCCCTGCTGTAGCTCCTTGTTCAGCAGCCACAGACAGTTCCTGAGTCACCTAAGAGGCCGTTTTTCTTCCCTCTACAAAGTCTTTTATACTTCCTGCTGTGTCCAGTATTTCACAAAAGCCACCTCACAACTTGCCTCCATCCAAGTTCAAATATGGGCCTATAAATTCATTCAGTTGGCCATGGCATCAATTCCACAGGAGCAATACAGGAAATGAAATATTGGCATCAGGTTGGAGTTACACCTTGAAGTTGGAGGGCAGCAATTTAGAAATCAACAAAGTCCAGGTTCTCATGACCCATAGCCACCCAGTCTTTGTTATGACATGAATTTTGCTAGTTAGGTGTTAGGATGAGACATCACTATCTCTCAATTTTTTGAATCACTTGCTGAGTGCACTGTGCTAGGAATATGGATTAGGAGAGTGAGAAAGTAACAGTTAGTAATGATGGTGTCTTCTGAGAAAAAAAATACACATATATATGCATATATATATATAGAATGTGGACGATGATTGCTCTCATTTTAAAAAGAACCATAACCATTTTCAAACAGTTCCACACCCACACACACATCTTTCCCAATTCAAGGTATTTCTTCAAATTAAGCCCAATTGGATAGAATATATGAGTCATCTTAAAAATATATTCTAATTTAGTGACAAAAAGCTATTTGCTGGCCAGTGTCCTTTTCCTCTCCTTCCTTTCCTTCCTTCCTTAAACATTCACCTGATAAGTTATATAGAAGCAATTAAGAAAGGAAATCATGCACACAACTTACTATCTACATTAACGAGAGTTTATGATTGTATGGGTTTCAACATACATAGGCTTTTGCTATCAAAAGCCTCTCTTAAAGTTCCTGGGTGGCTCAGTCAGTTAAGCGTCCGACTTTGGTTCAGGTCAGATCTCACAGTTCGTGCGTTCGAGCCCCACTTTGGGTTCTGTGCTGACAGCTCAGAGCCTGGAGCCTGTTTCCGATTCTGTACCTCTTTCTCTCTCTGCCCCTCCCCCACTCGTGCTCTGTCTCTCTCTGTCTCGAAAATAAATAAAAACAAACAAACAAACAAAAAAGCATCTCTACCCTAGGCAGACAAAAGTTGGAAATCTCTTTATTGTCCATTCCAGGAACTAACTGAAAGATCCATCAACTCTTCCATAAAAAGTGCCAAATGACATTTTTCAACCGTAAGGAACTTGAAACTTTTGGCTTCATATTCTTGCCTTGCTGTGTCCACCAAACCTAAACCATTTCATCACTGTTTCCCCTCCATCTTAATCACAAGCAACGTGATTGAACCCAACGTCAAAAGAAATATTCCACACTGACTTCAAAATCTGAATAAATCCCTCTCCTGTCCTGCCACGTCCAAGACTCTCTAAGACCCTGTCCAGGTAGTGCTTTCCCTGACAGTGTTGTTCGATAAAGTCAGCTTTACTTATCAAGTTGTTTGACTGATAGTTGCAAAGCACAGTACCTGAAGAGCAAGGTCACCATTACTGAACATCATGTAACAGTGGATCAAGCTCAAATCCCAGGACGCATAAGGATAGAAACTTCTGAAACATGCACTGACGGAAGGACCACAGATACGTGGAGAAATATGTTACCTAACTTCAGATTTAAACGCGCAGCAACACAAGCAAAAAAGTAAAGAAAACCGTCGTTAATGTGCTTATTATACAGAGGAGAGCAAATTCACTCAAGTACGACAGAAAATCCAGAAGCATGGAAGGGAATGATTGCTCAAAGCGTGTATAAAAAAATAGTGTTCAAGTACTTAGTATCTATTATTGTTCTTTTCGAGACACATTCAGCACTAACAGTGACTACAAACTGTCCCCAAAGTATCTGGATGCAAAAGAGAGCTCGGGTGGGAGGAAAGAGATCACTCTTGTAGCACCATTTCAGCTACTCTGTGGACCCTGCCTTCCCACGCCTTGGCATCAGACATGGGAAAAAGTCCACGAACATTGCAAACACCCACATCAGAACGCATACACTTTGTACCGTGGCCTTTGCTGCGCAAGCCTATTGTTAGCAAAGACTGTTGCTGAGCATGCGCCCTGCTGTCCCCGCATCCTGTGAGCAGAGCTGAGGAAGAAGGCGTAGTGTTGCTGGTGTCCCGATCATTCTCGCTGCCTGAGCACAACTGGTAGGTCCAGAAATCCATCCTTCCGGGCCTGGAAGTGTGAGTGACTCTGAGGATCGTGGCAGTGGGGCTCGGGGGTTCGGAGCCGTAGGTGTGTGGCCTCCGCGGTGGAAGGTGCTAGGAGATAGCGTTCTTCCCCCAGGCGTCGTGGCCGCCGTGGCCCTGGTCCTCGAGGTAGGACGGGGACGAGTGGGGATGGCGGGGGAGGAGGACGAAGGTGATGCAGACAGGGAGGGTGCTGGGGGCGTCCTTCGAGGTATGTGAGTCCTGGAGACACCCGGACGTGCCGGCAGAGCACTGAAGCCAGAGTCCTCAGGGGGACCCTGGGTGCGAGGCGGGCCAGGCAGTAGAGAACAGGTGTGGAAGGGGCGCCTGGGTGGGCCAGTTGGAAAGGGCCGACGCGCGGTCTCAGCGCAGG